ATCAGCGCCGTTTTTTCCCCAAACTGGCCATTACCGCCATTGTCTAATTTTCTCGCAGAAGAGAACCCTGAGAGAGAGCAGAAGAGAGAGAGAGAGAGAGAGAGAGAGAGAGAGAGAGAGAGAGAGGAGGAGAGAAGAAGAGAGGGAGAGGGGGGAGGAGAGAGAGAGAGAGAGAGAGGGAGAGGAGAGCAGAGGAGAGGGAGAGGGAGAGGGAGAGGAGAGGGAGAGGGAGAGGGGAGAGAGAGAGAGAGAGAGAGAGAGCGAGAGAGTAGAGTGATAAATGGGAGAGAAAGGAATGACAGAGGAAAGGAGAGGGCAATGGAGAAGGAAAGGGAGCGAAGAGGGGGGTCACAGAATTTCACAGCAAACAACTTTATGACTTGCGTACCACAAAGTATATCGTGTAACCCTACCTAGGTGGCGTTACCTAACCTTAGCTGACACGTGACCACTTATTAAATCACTACCGCTTCATTACCCTGTTAGGTTAGGGATGTGAGCGGTCATCGGCCGACAATCGGAGGCGCCGCAGCTCGTGCACTAAAGCTGACGCGATGTTTGTGGTTGCATTATTTAGGCTGGCTATCGTGTGTGCAATGACATGCACATGGAGATAGGTGGATGGTCACTGGTAATTTAAAACGAATTCTTTCAATGTATTGGCCCCCATTCGACTGCGCGACTGTTTTTCAGGCACAAATGTGGTGTCGGTTAGTAAATTCGCGACATTTTTTTAAAACGCTGAACAACACATATCTTCAAACTCTAATGGTGCACAGCTGAAGTACATGGCTACCTAGCTATAATATTGCACTCGGCAGAAAACGGTCGAAATACTATTTTTCAGCTCGTGAAATTCAATTCTTAAGTATAGGATCCTATGGAGGATTTAATAGTGGTCTGTTCTCAGCTACCACTGTGATCTAACGGTATACTACCGACTGAATTTATCAGTACCTAGCTGCCTACTAAATTTATGGCAGCTAGCTGCTATGGGCCTACTGGGGCATTTGTAATCAGTATGGGTGCACAAGTAAAACAGCACAAAGTAATACACCCAGTATCCAGGGAATGTCAGTTCAGTAACATTATGGAATGTTTAGAAATAATAATCGATAAACAAAATTAAATGCATAATAAGCCCATTGCTTATGCAATGTTGACGAATGCTAGAGTAACTGGCACCTTGTGTAGTTAATAAGTACATAACCTTACATCCAAATGCGTATTAGTTTGTCCAATATCACTGCTGGTTACTAAGAAATGTCTAATTGAAATCCGCAGTCCAAGAAATCAGTTGTTTACAGTTTCAAACCGCTACCGGCGAAGAGGGTGTGATACAGATTTATAGTGCACCGGACATTTTCGCACGCATGCTCGGCCGTACGCAATGCCATCATCAATGATTTCGTAAACACGGACGCTCGTGATAAGGAACTTTTTGTCAGGGCTGTCCATGTGCGTCCGTGATTAGTACGTGTGTTTTATCCATTTCCATGTTTAGTCCGTGGCCGTGGTTACACCGCTGACACCTCCATTTCATCTGGTGTCCAAAACATACAGGCCGCACAAATGTTTATGTCATCACTTGACTCCTGAATGACATTTACGGCACGTAAATGATACGTAGATACATATCAACAACCGATTTCAAGTCTTGTTAGAAATGTAACCAGCAGTGATATTGGACAAACTAATACGCGTTTGGCTGTAAGGTTATGTACTTATTAACTACACAAGGTGCCAGTAACTCTAGCATTCGTCAACATTGCATAAGCAATGGGCTTATTATGCCTTTAACCATAATGATTTGAGAGCTAGCTGAATGACGTTGCTTGAATTGAATCAATACCACTTTTTCTCTCCCCATGTGACTAAGCTCACTGGTTAATTTACATCACTGCTTATGTAGAGCATCTGATCAGTATATCACTTTTAAAAGTATATTTCCAAATATATCTCATAAGATATGTGTTTTCTTTATTAATCTTTACGCAGTGGCTACGCGTCCGGAACCGGTCGCCTAGCCTCCAGGCTACGCATCCGGAACCGGTCGCCTAGCCTCCAGGCTACGCGTCCGGAACCGGTCGCCTAGCCTCCAGGCTACGCATCCGGCCATCCACTCACACAGTGA